TTGCTGACAATTGCATAACCACTGAATGTTACAAATAGATTTTAGGCTGGGTAGTTCTTCTCTGACTCCTGACTGGCAAAGTCTTAAAATCAGATACTCTTAGTTTTGAGGCTTCATGAACACTATACTGAATTAACTTCTTCCTAGACTGAATACGCAGGGCAGCAGCCTAAGTTTTGTCTATAATAAAACAAGAACTGCGGTTGCTAGACGAAGTTATGATAAAGAGTCACTGGAATCGAAACGTTAACTCCGCTTTCTCCCCACAGATGCTGCCAGACTTGCTGAGTTTCGCCAGCAATTTCTATTTATGTTTCAGCTTTGTCTATGCTAGGTGAGAACTGTTTTAGAACCTTGAATAAAACAGTGGTGCATCAAAATGACGCACTAACACAACCATTGTTTTATCTCACATCAGAAGTGGATTTGCACATTGAGTTAATCTTGATATTGAGCAGCAAATAAGAACTGATAGCAAAATCAAAGATGTTTAACCTCAGGAAAAAGTATGCTAGCAAGTGAAAACAGGAGATACCTTGAAAGAGTGTGGCTGTCTTAGTCAGAAAAGAGATGCAGATGATATGATACAAGTGGTAACGTATTACAATGGGATGTGACAGTGCAGATGCAAACAGGTTGTTCCCAGTCTTTATTGAATCCAGTACAAGAGAATCTAAATATATTGTTAAATATGCAATTTAAGATGAAGAGTAGGACATTTTTCAATAAAAGGGATCAGCAACTCTGGTAAATGATAGCAGAAAAGAGGAAAAAGGTGATATTTACCTTTTAGAACCTTGCTACATGTTGCTCCTGCCGCTTGAATGGTTAGCAGCACAATTTTCAACAGCTTCTCTGCAATTTTTACCAATATTTCATGTGTTGATTTATCACTTGATGTAACTGCCTTTTATGCTGAAGCAATGAAAAAAATCACTAAAAATTAGTGGTGCACATTAAAGTTATTATAATTGAAAACATGTCAGTAACTAGACATAGAAAGTGAAAGATTATTTGGCTCAGCTTAACTCAAAGATTCTAGAAGAACCTATACTCTGCAGCAATAAACTGTTCCTACAACATGCATGTATACAGTACCATTGAAAATGAAAGGTACAAATGCCACAGGAGTGTTAGCAAACAAAATTTGATACTGAGCCACAGAAGGAAATATTATGACCAAAAGCTTGATGAGAAAGATGGATCAAAGGACTGTCTTAAAGGAGGACAGCATGATGAACTGGTGACCCATCAATTGCTATGTCCAGAGATGCCAAAAGCCTTGCAGTTTTACTGATATAGCAAGAACTGCAGATGCTGGAGTCAGAGATAACAAAATGTGGAGCTGGAGGAACACAGCAGGCCAGACAGTGCCCTGACCTGAAACATCAACTTTCATGTTCCTCTGAAGCTGCCTGGCCTGTTGTGTTCCTCCAGCTCCACACTTTGTTATCCTTGTAGTTTTATATGTTTTTGTAGAGCCATTGGAACCTTTTGAAAACTACTGGTTTTCCCGGCTTGCTTCTAAGGTCAGTCAGTGCAGACACCAACTCTTTGCTTAGATGCTTAAAATACATGATGGACCCCTGGATGGCTTCATAACACTTCACTTGTATGCATGTGGCAGCTATGAGACTTATCACCCTATGTTGTGGTGTGGGTTTGAAGGGAGGTGATAAATGGCTGGAGGTGAAGGAGGCAGTGATTACCTGGAAGAAGGTGAGATAGCAGCATTCAGGGCTTGAGCTTGGTTATTGTATGAAATTGGAAAGCACTTCACTTTGGATGCCAAATCTGGAAGTTGCTGCAAATTCTCAAAGAATAGTTCTCTTTATTCAAACTTGCCAAACATGACATTACTATCCCCCACCCACCCTGGCCTGGCAACAAGTGTCTCCCCCAGACTGGCACCCTATATCCCTTTCCCACTTGGCACCATAACCACCTGGCACACTAACACCCATCTCCCACTTGGCATGCTTCCCACTTGGCACATTATCTTATATATTTCATCATCTGCAATCCCACTTCCTCATGAATGCTGGGACAATGTTTTTTTCTCTTTCCTCCTTCCCTAGTTCATGACAGAATGTAATTTCATCTGGGAATCCCCTTGTAGTACTCCATTCTGTATGTGTGTAACAAGAATCTACTTAACCAAATGGAGCATCAAAGCTGTGCAATACCTATTCTTCCCTATATGTACACATTTGCACTTTCATTTGGATGGGGAGAAGGGGCACTGCAGGATAGCAACCAGGAGCAGGAGCTACTGTCTTTCTACTTCAGGCATCCTGGTGTCCATCATGACATTCCTCACTAAAGCCTTAGTTGAGTGGCTCACTATCACTCTTAAGAGGTAGCTTTACCCAGCAAGACATTGAGAGAGTTTCACAATCAGAATGCTTGATGTGGGATTAAGCTTTTTTGTTACATCTGTGAAGCAGATCTAAATAACTCAACAACAGGAGATCAGATTATTATATGAATGGCGACAGATTGAGAATGGGGAGATGCAACAAGACTTGGCTATCCTCATACACCAGTCACTGAAAGTAAGCCTGAAGCTGCAGCAGGAAGAAGCCAAATGATAAGCTGGCCTTGTGAGGGTTTGACTATAGGAGCTGGGATGCCTTGCTCACAGTGCCCTAGTGAGACCACACCTGGAGTACTGTGTGCAGTTTTGGTCTCCCCACCTGATGAAGGATGTTCTGGCTCTGGAAGGTGTGCAATGAAGGTCTACCAGACTAATTCCTCGGTTGGCAGGACCGATGTATGAAGACATACTGGATCGTTTAGGATTATATTCACTGGCGTTCAAAAGAATGAAGGATTATCTCATAGAAACCTATAAAATTCTAATGGGACTAGACAGGGTAAATACAGGAAAGATGTTCCTGATGACCTGGGAGTCCAGAACTAGGGGTCACTGTTTGAGGATACTGTATGCGATAGGCCATTTAGGAATTAGATGAGGAAAAATTTCTTCATCCAGAGAGTGACGAATTCTCTGCCACAGAGAGCAGTTGAGACCAAAACATTGAATATTTTCAAGGAGTTAAATATAGTTCTTAGGGCTATAGGGATCAAAGGATATAGGGGGAAGGTGGGAACAGATACTGAGTTGGATGATCACCATTATGATGTTGAATGGTGGAGCAGGATAGAAGGGCCAAATGGCCTACTCCTGCTCCTATTTCCTATGTTGTGACTCTGGCATCTACGATTTATAGAATCATAGAGTTGTACAGCACGGAGCCAGACCTTTGGTCCAACTCGTCCACGCCAACCAGGTATCCTAAACTGATCTAGTTCCATTTCCCAGCATTTCTCTAGACCCTTCAGCATCTGCAGTTCTTTGTTTTATACTATTTGTTATGTAATCATTTACGTGCCGTGGTGCCCCATTCACTTTGAATTGCAGACATATGCTGAGTAACAATCTATCAACCTACTGGCCATTGGAAAGAGCAAAAAATACACTCGAGTTTTGAATTTGAAGTATGATTATTTCTCACTAACTTACTGAAAAAAGAAAGCATAACAGACAGTCTTCTGGATGAGGGAATGGGGGAAAGAGTTACTCTTTTCATTGAGGTTTACCCAAAACCTGTACTCAGCATCAAACCTGGTAGTAAGAAAGCATCCTTTGTCTCTTAGCAATCGCCATTCATCTTGTCTTGTGATTTTGAGCTTCTGAGTGTGGCAACACTCAGCACAGCAGAAGGGAACTGTGTTTGTTGGGGATGGAAGGGTAATCTTTTCCCACCATATTTGGCTAGAGACTTCAATACGTCACAGACATAGTAGGAACTGCAGATGCTGGAGAATCTGAGATAACAAGGTGTAGAGCTGGATGAACACAGCAGGCCAAGCAGCATCAG